ACATGGCGCCTCTAGCGTCACTTTGATCATGTAGAAGTACACTGGCACATCGCTATTCTTTCTAAAATAATCGTTTTTTGAAATGAGGCCATAAAAATTTTGTGAGAGAAGCTCCTTTTAGACATTGTCTAATCTTCTCAAAATAGACTTTTAGAGGGAGGCTGATAGCCAAAGTCGAGGAGCTCAAGTCGGTCTGAAGAGCAAAAGCCTTCAATATGACATATTTGCAAAAGGAGAATAAACAGCCAAAAGCAACAATTTGCCCAACAATCCTATAAAACGTAGGCTCTTCTACCAAAAGCTGCATGACCAAATGCAATAGGAACACAAAAGGATAATCCTGAAGAAGTGCTTCACAGATTTTGCGCACTATCTTCTGTGATAAGGCAAAGCATTCCACGAAAAGCATCAAACTCCTTGTAAATAAATAAATGGTGGTTCACACTTACCCGTAAACAAAGGTCACATAAGTCTGTTTTTGCACGAGACAAAATGAACTCTGTTCTCTGAGTAGATCATGCAGCTTGTCCTCAGCGACGCGACAATCAATCTGAAAATAAGCTTACCAATTCGAAAGGAATTAGAATTACTACAACAAAGAGCGAAAAAAAAACAAAACCAATAAAAATCGAGAAATAGAGACCAAGATCTCCGTTTTAGTAACGTTAAATAAAACTAAGGAAATGAAGGAAGAAACACCGCTTGCCTTCACATCATTCTTGAGCCCAAACATATTAAACGGTAGGTTTGAGCTTCTCAATACTACTCTTTCTGCATGCATGTGAACCCATTTTTGCCTGGAAACTGGTGATTATAGAACATTTCATAGGGAAATTTTCATGTGTCATTCAATCTATTTAAAATGTGCAAAAAGCTCAAAAAAATGCAATAACTCTACTGGAACATTACTCACCACGACTTCTCATTTAATTGGCACAGTGAACTCCAGAAACCCACAAAGGTCTTCGCATTTTCTTGTTCAACTCTGAAGCAAATGTGAATCACAAAAGATGACCTACTTCCACCTCCCACCAAGCAACCACTCGTACCACATGAACAATCCCTACCCGAGAAAAACGCTCATCTCCTTCGTTTTGTCTTCCAATGTAAATATCGGTATTTTTGTCGACACTCCGATCGGAATGGTGTAGAATACAGGATCGCTATTAAAAGCGTGGATGTGTAACAGTACACGATCAGCTTCCAGAATGCTGGAACGTTGATGTTGGAAAAAAAGCGAGATGTCAATACAGGTGACTAAGCTCACCTAACACTTACAGCAGACGAGCCCCTCGCTGCACCGGCGCGACAGAGATAAGCCCCGAGGACGACGGGGCAACACACCAAACTCCCACCGACGAAAGAATTAATTTGCTCTGTTAGAGGGGGTCGTGCCAGGATCTCGATTTCGGGGGGGGGGGTCGTACCTCTGCGACCACGTACTCGACACGATTTTCACCCTGCTAACTGCTAGTGCTTTTCGCTGGTTGACGTTATACGATTTACTGTGCGCGTCAGATAGACATTGGCGCACGGGGATCTCATCCAGTTGTAGACCAGGGTGAAAATCGTGTCGAGCACGTGGTCGCAGAAGTACGACTGTCGCAAACGGGGCTTGGATCTATTGCGATCCGCATCGGTGGGCTCTGCCTAGCAACTCCTGACGCCTCGAACCTTTCGGTCCGAAGGACTTTCCATCGGGTCCACAACACCTCTCCTGCGCACCCCGCAGGAGAAGCGGACCAACCCCTCGGGGACCATGGGGTTCCTAACGGGTCCCTACTGCCTCCCGCAGCTCCCGGGTCAGAACCAAGGGTGCCAAACCCTTGCCAACCATGACGCAAACAACATATACAATGAACACATAGAATTAGGGCAAAACCCACATGAACAAACACAGCATATAAACAATACATTTATTACACGCAGTAACTTACCTTCACCTCTGATCTCCCTCGGCCACCTCGCTCAAGGGCAGACCAGGCCAGCTGACTGCACGTATTAGACCACCATCCCGTACGGGACATTCTTCGGGCACCTTTACGTCGAGCCAAGTGCCGCACTTCTCACTTCGAACGTGTTTCGCTGCGGGAATGGATGACAGGCTGATCCCAGACGGAGAGCCAGGCTTGGACACGACGGCTCTTGTATGACAGGCACTCCACAGCAGTCGGACTCAGGGCTGTTTCCGTGCCCTTCGCCTTAAGCGGCTATCGCGTTGACGGTAACCTGTCACGACCTGTCCACCGGATTGCCAGCCTTGGGACAACGTAGTACCCGTTCCGAGCAGGGACCTCAGCTGCAAAGGGTTGCACAACTATCAATGACTTACCTGGCAGCTAGGCAGACAGCTGGGACGCGACCGCTCAGCGCGGTGATAGTAGGCGAACAACGGCTGGCACCGACCGTAGGGGGCGGAGCCAATGGGCCAATTGGCGCAATGGGCGGGACCAATGGCGCAATCGGCGCATTGCGCATTGGCATCCGAGCGCGAATGGGCTGGCGCGCTGAGCGGTCGCGTCCCAGCTGTCTGTCCACAGGGCAACCGTCGCATCCGCGACAACGACCCTCCACCCTAAAATCGAGGTCGTGGCACGACCCCCTAGAACAAAACGTATGCAATTAATTCAATCAATTGATCAAAAAAATTCCTGCGAAATATTAGGTCGGTCCATAATTTTTGAGACACTTTACATGTATTGTTGTAAAAATCTTTTGATAAGTATTGAAGCTTTCCAAGATGTCCTGCAACCCAGCACACAAGCTCGCCTATCCGACAGGCTAGCCATCTCGTTTGCTTGTTGCTTTCTTTAGCTAGGATTCCAATTTCTTCGAAACCTATTTCTGAGCCTCTTTCTTCATGACTACCGATTAGGATCTTCCACGCGCCAAGCTGAATGGAGGATTAACCAGAAGTTAGTTGAGGGCACGCTCTCTCAATCCACAGTTACCTCTACTCAGGGTTCCCTCCTTTTATTTGAAGAAAATCGACACTCCAACCACCCCGTGACTGCAATCTCGATGCTCTATCCGGCGCCATTGGAAAGGAATCTGAACAAAGTGGGCGCTATTTGTCAGAGCGCTTTTGGTGTTACAAGGAAGTACTGAGACATCTCGATAAAGTCGCTAAGGTTTGAATATATGGAGTTTGTCTCTCACATGCTCTGAGCCCGAATCAGCTCTAAACCCGATCTGACATCATCATGTTCCTATTGGTTTCCCATAGTTCCTTCGAATGACCATCCATATACTCATCGGTGATGTGGACTGGGTGCAGTGTGCTAACAAATCCACAAGCCGCAGTAGCTTAGCTTAAACGATTCGGGAGTTCTGACAGCAAAAACCCAACTCCCTCTGAATTCGAACTTCCTGAGTCGTTGGCGGAATACGAGAGGGCTTTGCGCTGGGAACCGGCACCAACTAATACCAGTGTCAGTGATGAAGAAGAATCGTTGACAGCTTGATGGCAACGCCTTCAACTTGAAAGCAAAGTAAGACAAAAT